TAGAAATGTATGAGCCGGCTAAATGTACATATGAAGATACATAGATATATAGAGATCGTTAGATATTGTAAATATAGTTGGCAATTGTTTAGTTTGTTTTTCTAGCTGTATTATTTAGATATTTACATCTTATTATATTTACATAGTTCTGCCTTTTAGCTGCGTGAATGTAATTGTATTTTTGTGCAGGCCAACAATATTTATAGAAATAATTCAGAGAATCGGGTGCATGCTCAAAGATAAAAAAGGACAAGTCAATCAGAAGGGCGGTTGTGGAGGCTTCGGTAAGGGAAACTTCTCTGAGTTGTTTAGATCGATCGAGGAATACGTGAAGAAGTTTGAAGCCAAACATGTTAATCAAGTAGCTGCTGTTGAATGAATATATACAAGCATTAGCTTGCAATCTAATTGAAATAGAAGTTCTCCAATGATTTCATAGTAGAAAGTAAAGATACATAGTGCATAATATGTACCATCTCATTTCAACTTACCAAAAAGCAGATCATATAGTTTAAGAAGAAGCAAAAAAATTTAATTCATATTTCGAGTTTGTTATATTATCAAAGAATTAACTTGCACATATGTAAAATTTGAATACAAAAATTAAGAAATCGGGCTTTGGCCTTCACTATCAATGCCCCTCTGTATAGTTAAGTCGAACATTGATGATCGAAGGTATGCCTTCTGAAATTGGCTGACCTTCAGAACAATAGACTGGCCTACTGAAATTCAACAAAATATGCAAATTATGTAGACAATAACAAATTAGATGAAAAATTCATGGTATATTAGATAATGATTCAAGAATTAAAGTTTATAAGTTCGCATGCTGAGATTTTTCAGAAGCTCCTACATATAAATCTATCGGTGCAGAAATTAGCTTAATTGTACCACGACTACAACAAAATTCAATTGATTCGTATTCAAACTTCTTAGCTGAGTCAAGTTATGAACCTTTGTTAATGGAACATATACAGAGCATAATCTTCTAATATTAGGCATATTTTCTCTGCACGTTCCAAATAACCATAAAAAACCAAAAAAAAAACAAGGAGCACGCACCAACGGAGAGGGGAAATCATTTTAAAGCTGGAAGTACGTGGCAAATATTTAATAACATACGCCTCTCTATCTATCAAAAGTAATACATTTGAGAGAGATCAAAATAGTCGGGAAGAGTAAGACTTATCTCAAATCTCTTCTACAGATTTTGTTAATGGTCACAAAGAAACTTTTGCATCAAGTTCTTCATCAAATAGGTTCAGTGATTCACCTTTTATATCTGAATCCAGCAGCTCCCGATCACACTCTTGGTCCTCTTCTTGGTCTCAGAAGGTAATAATAGCCACAATAACATTGTTATACAAGCAAAAATATGAGGAATGGTAATTTTGAAAACAAGTTTGGTTGGTGAAATAAGAATTTATCAAAATTTTGAGCTATCCCCAAAAGCTGGTTATCCAACACAAATCTCTTTAGAGACCTACCTAAATTGTTGTTAGGAATCAAACTGATAATATTATGTTCTTGGGTTTCATGATAAATAATCAATATGGAATAACAAGCCAAACCCTTTTCATAAACTATGAAAGGGTAAACAATTTCTTTTTCCTTTTAAAACACGAAGCACAAAGACATCAGATAAGATCATCACCAAAATGGCCCCTGAAGATACAACTTCACAGATACATTCTTTTCCAGAATAGCGACTTTAATGTCCACTATAACAACTCAAGATTTGTAGTTTTCAGGAAAGTGCAAATTTTTTTGATAACAAGGGAAATTGTAGTCTCTATCTTTTGGAGGTTGTGAACAAGGTAAAAATCCAGTCCTATACAATAACTCTTGTCATTCCAAATATAAATCAGCTTTATATGATATGGTCAGAAGTGTATCCTTGCTATTTCGAGATTATGGAAATGAAAAAACTTCATGGATGAAATAGATTGTGTAATTACAGATTGTGTCACTATTGATCAGAACTAGTGCAAGTAAACTTATTATGGTAGAAAGTGATCTACATCGATTGGGATTAAATATTTATGACAATTTAGATATATTTTCTTAATCATTAGCTCTTTTTTCTAAAGCTAACTCTAGCTAAGAACTGCAACGAAAACCGTACCGAAACAACACTAGTAACAACTACTATAATATGATATTTCACATAGTAAACCAAACTATGGCGACAACACATCGAGACACACAAATGGGAATAACCAAATTCAAGCAAGTTAACATAAATGATATTAAGGGAACTCAAATAAGAGCATTAATTGAGGACAACAAGAATGGTTTCTTTGATCAACGAAGCAGAGGCTTAATAGTTAGTAAACACTTTTATCAAACACTTCATATGCAAATTGAAACCATCATAATTTAACCCAACTTGTAACCCCCGATAGAACAAAAAAAGAGAACAAATAAAATTACACGAAACACATAACGACAAGGAAACTAAGCACAGTGGAGTAAAATCCATGAAAACTATGAAAAATCAGAGCATCACTTGAACCAAATGAAAGCAAGGAATGACCAAATTGCCCTGTGATGAAACATGCATATTGACCATGAGTGCAGAGGCTTCTTTATTTAGTATATCTCAAAAAACTAAAAAAAGCCGAAATTCAATTAAAACACACCAATATATCATGCATGAAATCGAAGGTGAAAAACAAGCAGAAAGATTCAAAGAAACCTCCAGATTTAAGTATCAGTCAAAAGTAGAGGAACACCAAGAAGAGGATTGAAAGTAGAAAAAATTACCAGTTCCTATGCTAAGTAGTGTCACGTGTAACTACACTTGAATGATGAAAAAATCCCTAGCTGAAGCAGGCATGTTCACCAGATCTGTAACCTTAAATTTCTCAAACGCACTCAATTTTGCTATCAATTAAACAGAGCAGAACATAGTGATTGAACCATTACTTATCAATGAAATAAAAAGAACAAGGAGAACGTGGTTCTTCATCTAGAGTATGAATCACATTAAAATTGTATACTCCCAAATTCATTGAAATTGTTGAAAAGTACAAGAAAAGCTGAACATCAACAACAAACCCAAATGAAAAAAAGAAAGGAAATCTTAACACACCAATATCAAATTTGTTCAACCAAAGATAAAATTGGGGAACATTTTTTAGTGCAATTTTAGATTAAGTAAAACAAAGAGATACAAAAAATCAAAAGAAAGAATAGAGAAAGATTACCTAATGAATGCTTGAGAAAGGAGATACATTTTGTGAGCAATGAAGTAAGATCTTGAAATAATAAAGACAGCTAAACGTGAGGTGTACATTGAAGACACAGAAGCAAGACACCTAGCTATATTTAAATACTGAAAAGACAAAAATAACATTAAGTGTGATGACACAGGCATGTTGAAATAGCCTTCTTCTAATATAGTAGTAATAATATAATGAAGCCAGATAAACTTATCATTCGAAAATAAATCATAAACTTTGATTTTTGGGTACTACAAAATGAATTTCAAGTCAAATATATATAATTTGAATTATTTTATATTACTCTAAAAAAGTGAGTAAATCAAAAATTTTCTGATTGGGAGTTCAGTGGGCTAGAAAAGTCAAAAGAAATGTTGTTTGTGGGAAATACTATTACAACAACAAAAAAATTAGAATAACAATTAAATAAAATGTATCAATTGTTACAAATCCATTGAACTAATTAAGTAGATTGTTCATTGGATATTATGAATTACTTGTATTCATGTATGTGTATTTCTAAGGTGATATGATCCATTATGGATAAACATGTACCTATTAATTTGGTGACCTTTGAGAGTGATATCTCAACACTATAAATAGAGACATCACTCACCATTTGAAGTATACACTTGAATAAGAAAAAAGTCTTATCTTCCATCTTACTTCTCTTGTGTTCATCTCTTTATATTTATATTGCCATGAGCTTGATTTTATAACACGTTATCAGCATGAGACTCTATCCAATTGAGAGTGAGTTCTTGTTTTTCTTTAGCTCATATTTTGGTTGATCTCGTTATGAAGATCAAAGTATTATATGCAAAAAATCAGGTATGTATTTTCTAAAATATTTTATGATTTAGAATAAAATAGTATTCAGTCACTAACAATTATCAGGAACCGAAGACATATACTACTATTGATTGAATATGACATACTGTACAAAATTTCTTAAATGGAAGAAGGTATAAATTTTAATAGAATAAGTTTGAATATTATTTTGATTGTTTTGAAAGACTCAAAGGGTAAATCATGTTGTACTTCGGTCTATTATACCGTTGGTTAAGGGTAAGACGATGGATTCAAGTTTCATCGCACCAAAAGGGTAAGACATCATATTAAAGTCTGGATGCCCCATAATGAACAATATTTGAGGGCCAAACGGTAGATTCATGTTCTATCGCACCAAGAGGGTAAGACATCAATTTGAGTTTTGATGCACCATAATTGGGTTCAAGTCCCATAGAATTATGTCGTAACACGCCTTATATGGGTAAGACATTGAGTTTGAGTCAATGCACCATAGTGATGATAAAATGATGACTAATGCAAAAATAATATATTTTTAATGAAATTTCTTGAAATCCGTCTCATGAATTTGCTCCATTCCCTAAAACGAATGTGGTAGCAGTATATGATAAGTTTGAAATCTGCCCACCTGCTCCATTCTATCATATGAATGTGGTTGCAGTGAATAATAAGTCTGAAAGATGACAAATGATTAACGATATGAAAAAGTGCATGAAGGGACGGAATTATAATAGTCATCATTGTGGTAATTATAAAAGGAAGAACATATGGGTTCTCCAAATAGTCCTTAAAAATGTGAAGGCAGTTTTCATTATTAAAATTATATGAAAGGACATTGGACTTGTGAATGTTGCCGATCTAATAATTTGACAAGTTTATAAATCCTCCATCAAAAAACAAGAAGATAAAGTGATGGTACACTTTATCTTTCAAAGTGATGTTAAGGTGTATCATGCAAATATGATGAATTTTAAAATCATGACAATGTACTTATAATGCAAATTTATGAAGTACATATAAATGATTAGTCCATTCCATGAAGAGAATGACTTGTGATGACTATCGTGAATTCTCGACCATTCTATAAGAAAATGGGTCCAGATGTGATAAAATCATTATGGTTGGATATATGCCACAACTCACCTCTATGGGAGGTTTGAGAAAAAAATGATATATGTCAAAACTCACCTCTACGGGAGGTTTGAGAGGAAATAAATTTTATTTGGCAGAAATGGCTAATCGTATTGTACGTTTATAAGTCACTATGATATGTTTATTATGAACTACCGAAAGGGAAAAAGAAAGAAATAATTCTTGCCTATAAGGATTGTCATCAATATTGTGTGGCAATACAAATTTGTCATTGGTTGTGTACCTATCGTACAACAAAAGTAAAGCAAGAAAGACGTCTTGCTCGTAATGATTTTTACCATGACAATGATAATATAATTTCCTCCTTCAAAAGAGATGCACACCATAGAGATGGTGTCATGCACTATGTGATAGTACACAAAATTAATTGCAAGATCTAACGAGTTGTGCTATTATCAGAGGAATAATATTGGGTTGTAGTAAGTCTCAAAAAAAAACTTCTTAAGTTTAAGATGAATTGAAAATAAATATTGAGACTATAAATCACTACAACCGAAGAGGGTTATAGATATTTATGTAAAAAATTACCCCACTTTTCCTCTTGTTTGTTCCATACAAATATGTACATGCTGATGAAATCACATGTAAAAATAAATTATAAGTGTACTAAAATAAAGATCAGTTGGCATGACTGGTTGACCATTCCGATTAAATGTAATGCAAATGTAATTGAGAATTCAGATGATTTATATGATGAAGAAATAAAGATTCTTCAAGAATTCTCTTGTGTTGCTTGTTCTCTTGATAAAATGATCATTGTACCAGCTAAGGTTGGGATTGTAATCCCCATATAAAAGGGTGAATATGGGTCTGTTCACCTACCATGTGGATCATTTACAACTATATGTTCAATGCATCTATGCGATGGTCACATGATTTTTTTGTTGTCAGCTTACAATTGATTTTGTAAGGTTGTTTGCTAGAATTGTTAAAATTAAGAGCACAGTTTCAAACTATGAAATTATATTGATAATGCTGGTTGATTTAGCATAAATTGTATGCTTCCAATTATAGCTAAATCATGGTTATGAGAATAAAACTTCCAAATGAGATTTGGTATGAGATAAGTAACATGTATCAACACATGTATGCATTAAGCCAACAAGGTTTCCCTATTAAAATTGATTCAGGGTCAGGAACCAAATAATTTTCATCTAAAAGGTTAAATGTGCTCTTATGATTTTAATTGCTCCACCACCACACACAAAGATGAACTTCCAAATAAGGTTGGAATGAATGTTAAATTTTCTAACATTTGAGGGAGAGGTGATTGACAACTGAAAATTATGTGTGAGGTTAATTATGAATTATCTAGATTCTCATTAAATAAATATGTGAACTTAAAGTTCAAGGGATAATTCAATTGCATAATGTCGCAAATCAGTTGCCAGATAAATGCACTGACTCTATGATATAATTCAGCTACAAGTGCTCCAATGTGAAGTCCTTGAAGGACAGAGTCTATGATACGCCGGAAGCGTAATAGACCAATCGATTCCAAATATAAATTTTTTTGAAGAAGGAAGGAGCAAATGATCAATATGGTCATGATAATGAGGCAAGTACTATAAAAGAGCACATTGACATAACACTTTATAAAATCTTGAAAAAGGTTCAGGTACCTGAAAAATGAAGAGATCTCGATAAGTTATGTCTTGTTGGAATCGATATCAAATAACCGTCGTCGGTATCTTTGATATGAGGTAGAGCTCAATGATATAAATTGTGATGATGATCTTGAATTCAAATCTGTCATATAGTGTGGAGAGATAAATGGTTGGCCAAGTAAAATGTACAATTCAAGTATATTTTGTTTCACTTTTAAAAGTGATATTTTGGACTGGTAGTCCATAAATCAAGGTATAATATCAGTGGGATACAAATAAATTATTATGCGATAGTATGACCGTAAGATATCAAATGCGGTTTGTGCCTTGGGATATAAAGGTTTATCGCAGAAATCCTAACATTATTGGAGATGTTTTGTCCTTTGGTGGATGCAGTGAGATTTGTTTTGATCTGGCAACATATGAAAAACTTGAATGCATATTGAATAATTGTAATGTCTAGCTAAACAATGAAGGTTATATGAAAATCCTTGAAACAATCGAGGTGCCTGAAGCATATAAGAGTTTGAAAGAAACTTTTTCAATAAAGCTTCAAGAATCCTTATATGGATTGAAATAGTCAAGGAAGAAAAGGGTACAAAAGAATTACCCTAATTGTCTTTGTATTTTATGAAAATGTCTTGGTAAGACAGAATTTTCTCTTGACCTACAGATTGATAATTTGACAAATGAAATATTTGTCTAACAATGCACATAGTTTTGATGCAATGTTATATGGATAAATCACATTCATTGAGTACCCCAATGATTATGAGATCACTTGACATAAATGATGATTTAGTTTGATCTCAAAAGAAGGATGAAAAACTTCTTGGTGATGAAACTCCATATCTTGGGCACTGGTGCATCTTACTAACAATATTTGACCAGATATTTGTTTTGCAGTAAATTTTCTGGCAAGATCAGTTTCTCCACGATAAAAGGGCATTGAAATGGTGTTGAGCACATGATTGAATATCCTCTAAGGACCATAGTTATGGATTTATTCTATTCCGATGAATCCAAGACAAAATTGTTCGGTTACGCAAATGCAGAATATTTATCTAATCCGCATAAAGCTCTATCTCAAGCAAGCAATGTGTTTGCACGTGGAGGCACAATAATATCCTGGCAATCAATGAAGCAAATGTTGCTATGCAGAAATAAAAGTCCTCCATGAAGCAAGGCGAAAGTGCGTCTGGTTGAGATAAATGACACACCATATTCAGAAAATGTGTGGTTCTTCTTTGAAAAAGAATATGTCAACCACAATGTACGAATAGTGGAGACATCATCACAAGAAATTAAGTGATGTTTTAATCAGGGTGAGTAAAATACACGTTGCACTCTTTTTCCCTTGACCGAGGTTTTTTTCCACTGGGTTTTCCTGGCAAGG